ACTTTGTTCCAAAGAGTCTGTAAGGATGAATGTTTGATTACAATGTTTGAAAGCTCTTACCCATTTCCTTATTTGTGCAGGGGAGAATAAAACAAAAAGGAAGTATTATTTTAATGAGACATTCCCTATGATAAGAATATTTTGAAGAGTTGCAAACATTGCTGTAACTGTGGCATAAGTCAAACCATACACCAAATGTTTCACAATTTGTAGTTTCCTTTGCTAAGCATAAGGATCATCTTTGAGCATAATACCTTATTCTGTCTGGAGTTCAAAACACTCTTCTAATATGTTAAGCCACTTCCCACAAACTTCACTCTCAGGAAGTTTGAATTGGCTGCTTTTCCAAAGAGGCTTGAAGGATGCCAGTGTTCTCAGCTTCGTAAACTCAAAGTGAACTTGTATTCATGTTTCAGATCAAATGAAGGGCTCGAGTTTGTATTTTATTTTTTAATCACTGCAGTAGCACTTTGGAATCCAAATATCCAGTTCTTATTTTTTTGTTTGTAATTGCTCATTCTCAGATTTTGCCTAGTCTCTCTGCCAGAGACATTAGCTTCAGACTTTTCACAGCAAAACTAGGCACACACAGATATTGCGTTTCTAAATCGGAGGCTGGGGATGAATTCAGAAAGGCTCCATAATAAAGAAAAAAACCCAAATATTAAGGATCAACTGAAATAGCTGATGTAAAGTAGTCTGTCCAAACACTTGAACAGATCCACTCAAATATCTCATAAATTTAATTCTCTTTTTTAGATTATACTTATTAAAAATATAAGCCTAAAACATTTTGAGTTGAATAGTATACCAAATAGCAGTAATAGCAGCATCAATGTACTTTCCTTAGCTCTGAAGGAAAACAAACCAAACCAGCCAACCATCCAACCAGCAGAAATAAAAGAAATACAAAATTTATCTTGACTCAGTCTTTATCCCAAGGACTCCTAGAGCAGTATCAGCTCAAAAGTAAATTCTGAAGTACAACCATTCATGGATATAAAAAAACCCTCAATTTTTACATGTACCCTGCACAAATAGTGAGCAAAATGAAACTAATAATAAGAAAAACTTTTGACGAGTAACTAACAGTCTTAGGCCCGCATTGTAGCTCTACCCTACAGATCACCTCTCAGGCTGTAGATCTGAGAGACGGTGGTCTCAGGCCTAACCAAAGACAGTTTGTTATCATCTGCAGGTGACTTTTTCTTGAGGATACCACTGACATTTGCTTCCAAGCTTTAATCTGTGGTCATCACTGTAATATTAGATGCATATTGGACTATTTCCAGGAAGAGAGTAGTCATTCAAAAAGTCATGGAAGCCACTGACCGAGCAAGGGTCTGATCCTGTAGATACATAGGCTTGTCAGCCAATAGGGCCATCATCTACACAAAAATACCACGAAGCAGCCATAGTTCCTATTTTCAGCCATGAACTAACTGAAGACAATTGTGGCTAACATCTATAATTACTTACTGAATTATATTCCATCCTTTTACTTTTTGCAAGAGGAAGGAGTCCTTTCGCCTTCTGAAGCAAAAGTCAGTATTGACAACTGTCAGGTACAGATTTAAAAGAATACAGGGTTTCCATTCAGTCACTAGATAGAATTCCTAAAAATAGGGGGTGGAAAAAAATTCAGAATGAAAAAGGTACACTGAGCCAAAGCTGCTGCCTGCTGATGGTCAGCTGCTGTACAGAGCCAAGTGAACTTTCGGAGACAGCATAACAAACTAGCTCCTCTCAGTGACTGGAAAGACAAGCAGTTAAGCTGAATATGTTGCTTTTGCCTTCATACCTCACATGCACGAGACACCACCCCGGCAGAGCCAAAGTATGCATCTTTCGAAAAGATATTTAGCAAATTAATTACAGCACAGAGCAACAGATGTCTATATGTAGAAATCAGACAGAAAGCCTTTCAGAAACCTGAAGTGTCTCCCACTTTACTACATTATTCAGAGAACTGTAGGGGATAATGTTTTACACATTTTCTGTGTTTATTCATTTGAAGGGTTGGATGTTCGGGTGCTTTAAAAAAATGCTTTAGAAGAAATGAAAAGGAAACCTTAGAAGTCTTCAAAGAAACACTGCTACTACTGAATGTAAAACAGTGCTATAAACCAGTCACAGGCACATCATTTAGAAGTTGTTTTTCATAACGGAGCTGCACGACAATAAATATTCTGGACAGTAGATGTCCTAATTGTAATTTGGCAACATGCTTTGGCTGCACCAACCTAGTTAAATAAATTGTCAGACTTATTAAGTAAAATCTGCCTTATAAGGCAAAGAAAACACTGCAATTTGAGATGTATAATAAGCAACACACATATACTATTAGGTTTTGATTTTGAGATAAAATAAACATAATAAATGTGACCCTGCTAAAAGTGCCAGTTTTGGTTTTGTGAGGTTTTGCTTGTCTTAATGAAACAGACAGTTAAAACACCCCTTAACTGCATTAATGTGATGTTCCCAGTTAGGAAATTTATGCATAAAATGGGTGAATTCATTCACCAGATGAAAATGACAATACAGTTAAGCAGATCAAAGATAACCTCCATCACTGATGAGTGTTTGAAAGGCAAATCCATTATGGTGTGTAAACACAAAGGTCAGATAAGCCTTTTTCTATATAAACAATAAGCAAAAGTGCTCTAAGAAACTGAGAGCCTATAAATTTGAGACAATATATATAAATGGATTCAAATTGGCTCACTGTTCATCCAGTCAATATATCCTACCCTCCAAATTCAAGTTTGCTGGCCAAATAAATGGAAACAGTGTTTTTATCTACTCTATTTTAAGGGAGAAAAAGGTAAAACAGGAGCAAAGATTCAAAACTATAAATAGCTTTAGGTTTTAAAGAATATAAACCAGGGAACTGAGCTTTTTTGGACAGCAAACATGGGGACTGGTTTTAGAGAAACACATGCAGTAGGTCTTAAAATAACTGACTGCTTTACTTTGTAGTTTTGCTTCACTGTTTTTCCAAGATATTTTGGAAACTTCTGAAATCCATCTTCTCTGTAGAGAAGAAATTTCAGTGGCAAGGAAAAAAAGACAACGTATTCCACCACTGCACAGATCTTTTCAATATGAGAGGAGCTGCAGCATATTCAGAGTGTCAGCTTACTATTGTCTAAAATTATCCAATATATCCAAGAGAAATTAAGCAGGATAAAAACATCATGGAAATAAACAATTGCTCACAGTTTGAAAACTGCTTGCTCCTGGAAAATGCCAGAGATGCCAAAACATCAGAAACAGGTCAGAACGCAAAAATTCAATAAATTCTTGATACAGAAACACTGTAACAAGGGAAGAGTCAGATTTCTTGTCTGACACATCTGAGAAATACAGAATGGAGGGGGGAGAGGGAGGACTCATCAAACAAAAATGTATTTTAATACACAACATCGAATTATTAAAAAAAAAAGTCAATAGAAATTAATGTCAGAGTTGGTACTAGATTTCAGACAAAGATTTTGGGGCCAGGAAAGTAGAGAAACTGCTCAGAATAGATCCACATCGAAGCCGTTATGTCCACCTACTGACAGAACTTCAGTCTAAAGCTCACACCAAATGTGTATTAGTCAGCATATCTTAGATGACACTGTTTCTGCTCTGCACCGTGGCACTGTTTGACTACATCTCTCCCTGCAAGTAGCTGTATGAATTGTTAACTAAAGCAAAGCACAGTTTGAAAGAGGAATTACTGTTACTAGATCTGAGCAAGGTCACTGGGATCCTTTGTTTTGAAGCCAGGCTAAACGAAACCACAAAAGTGGGCCATGTTACAATGTCTGTTTGAATATCTACACATTTTAGATGTTAATTCAGAAGACAACCCATTATAAAATAAAATAGGAAAATGTAGGTTGCAGCTTTTGGACTACAAACATCAGGTTATACTCAGTATAACCAGTAATGAGTGGTGTCCCCCAGGGATCGGTGTTGGGACTGGGCTTGTTTAACATCTTCATCACTGACATGGACAGTGGGATTGAGTGCGCCCTCAGCAAGTTTGCCGATGACACCAAGCTGTGTGGTTCGGTTGATACCCTGGAGGGAAGGAATGCCATCCAGAGGGACCTCGACACGCTTGTGAGGTGGGCTGATGCCAACCTCATGAAGTTTACCCATGCCAAGTGCAAGGTCCTACACCTGGGTCGGAGCAATCCCAGGCACAGCTACAGGTTGGGCAAAGAAGAGATTCAGAGCAGCCCTGTGGAGAAGGACTTGGGGGTGTTGGTTGATGAGAAAATGAAGGAGCTGGCTACAGTGTGTGCTTGCAGCCCAGAAAGCCAACCGTATCCTGGGCTGTATCAAAAGGAGCGTGACCAGCAGGTCAAAGGAGGTGATCCTGCCCCTCTACTCTGCTCTTGTGAGACCTCACTTGGAGTATTGTGTGCAGTTCTGGTGTCCTCAACATAAAAAGGACATGGAAGTGTTGGAACAAGTCCAGAGAAGGGCCACAAGGATGATCAGGGGACTGGAGCACCTCCTGTATGAAGACGGGCTGAGGAAGTTGGAGCTGTTCAGCCTGGAGAAGGCTGCGTGGAGACCTCATAGCAGCCTTCCAGTATCTGCAGGGGGCCTATATGAATGCCAGGGAGGGACTGTTCGTTAGGGACTGTAGTGATAGGACACAGGGTAACGGGTTAAAACTTAAACTGGGAAAGTTTAGATTGGATATAAGGAAGACGTTCTTTCCTGTGAGGGTGGTGAGGCACTGGAATAGGTTGCCCAGGGAGGCTGTGAATGCTCCATCCCTAGCAGTGTTCACGGCCAGGTTGGACAGAGCCTTGGGTGGCATGGTTTAGTGTGAGGTGTCCCTGCCCATGCAGGGGGGTTGGAACTAGATGATCTTAAGGTCCTTTCCAACCCTAACTATTCTATGATTCTATGAGTTCAGGTTGGTAATCCTTATCATCCAAGATGAACAGATTCAAGGGGACTGGGGGTGATGGAAAAGGGAAACCTTTTCCTTTACGGTCATGCCCTTGCAGCTAAACAGTTCTCTCTTTCAGTAAGTCACATGACAGATGTTAGCTGTTAACCCAATTTAAAGTATTTTTGTTTCTTTTCCAGTACATTCTGATCAGCAGCATGAACCACAAATAGTGCTCAGCAATTGGCAAGTGACAGATGCCCGAATACCACAATTTTCATCTCCTTTCAGTATCCTTGACTCATGCATCCTGTCTGAGCTAATGTTAGTTTCCTGATTGCAGTGTGTCTGCACCCTTGGACTCTCAGCAAGGGCTTGAGCCATCCCAGGAAGCTCACTCTTCCTTTCTAGACTTCCACTGTACTTTTAGTGACTATCTCTCAAAGCCACCTTGTTGTGCCAAGTCAGATCTGGACTCTGGATTTATGCTGCTATAGAAGTCTACTGTTTTTCCTCTAATTTTAAAATAACTCTAGACCGTCACATAAAAATAACATTCAATTCTGACTTTATTTGACCTCTAAGAAGAAAATAAGCTAACACCACCACCAGTTAGACTACCATTATTACAACATTGCATTCTTCTGTTTGAACAAAATGCCCCCAAAACAGATTTGAAACAGAATAGACACGTTCCTTCTTAGTGAGGCACTCACAGCTTTATTTCCATGTTACTCTGAAATTCTCCTCTCCAAACTACTGACTGCCATGTTCTATATACTGTAGCAGTGATTTTACATTGCTTAAGATCATCTATATTTCTGCAAGTATAAAGATGAAGTGCAGTGAGGCTTAGTCCAAGGTGACTGAGCTGAGCTTTGAAAGTAAAAGGATGTCTGTAGAACAGAAGGAAAAAAAATGAAGGGAAAAAAACAACCCAACTCTCAAACAAACAAAAGAAAAAACACCAAAAAGGAAAATGGTAGATTTATTTTTAGCTCTAATTCAGGAATATCAGCTAGGAACAGAAAGAGAAGAACAGAATTGCAAGGTAGAAAATTTTCATGAGCAAGTAATCTAACTGTATGTTGCGGTTTAAACCCAGTCAGGCAGCTCATTCCCTCAATCCCCCCTTCCTTCTCCTCCCCCTACTCCCAGAGGAATGGAGAGGAGAATCAAAACAATGCAACTCCCACAGGTTGAGATAAGAACAGTTTAGTAACTAAGGTATAACACAGATCACTACTGCTACCACCAATAATAATAATGATAAAGGAAATAACAAGGGAAGAGAATACAACACCTCAACACCTGCCAACCGATAACTTGCTCCCCCCAGCCCGACCAAGCACCGACCAATACCTCATCCAACCCCACAGTCCTAGCCCTTCTGGGTAACTGCACCCAGTTCTACATCCTGGGCATGACGTGCTGTGGTATGGAATACTTCTTTGCTCAGTTTGGGTCAGGTGTCCTGTCTCTGCTTCCTCCTGCCTTCCCCTCCTCCCTGGCAGAGCATGAGGCTCAAAGTCGTTGGTCACAGTAAACATTACCAAGCAGCAACTAAAAACATCGGTGTTATCAGCACTGTTCCCAGGCTGAAAGTCAAAACACAATGCAGCACCAGCTACCAAGAAGGAGAAAAATTGACAGCTACTGCTAAACCCAGGACACCGTGATTAAAGTACAGATCGATAATTCTGTTGCAAATTCATTAATTGCATTAACTAGGGATGCAAAACAATTGTCTTTTTCCTCCTTTTAAGCCACACAGTTAATACAAAACTCAAGGTCATTCCCTTTATTTTTACATGCCACATCAACAGGCCAAATAAAAATACATGACAGAGTTGGAGAAATGCTTTCTTGAACTACTGATTTCAAACTAGTTGTCCTCACTTCCTTGCTTAGTTGTTTGCCATAGAATCCTTTTTCCTTACTATTGAAACGACTATTTCCTTGTCATCAGAAATATTTCCCTCCAGATTTTGTGACAAGGCAATATTCTTATCTCTATTTTACAGAAGAAAGAACCAAGATACAAGGTCCATACAGGAAGTCTGTGGCCCAGCCACAGACTCTAAGTCTCCCGAGAATTGATTCAACACTGACTCAGAAGTCAAGCACTTTCTCTTCTTCAGTCTTTTGAACTTTTCTTTCCATCATGAATCACTAAGCTATAAGGAATCTTTGTCTAGAGAGCAGGCCTAAGAACAAATACACACTTAAGATTATTTGCAAAACCTAATCAAACAAGGTTTTTAAGCAGGACTTGAGTCTTACCCAATTCTGAATAGGTAGTCAAAGTCTGCAAGCTTATATGGAACTATAGGCACTTAATGTTGTAAACATGTTCAAAAGTTTTAACAAATATGAACTTGGGGCCAATGAACTGTGCAAACAAAAGAAACATACCACACAGCCATCTTTAGTTTTCAGAAGATCAATGCATATGCATTTATTTGAGCAAAGAGCCAATGTATATGGCCAGAATTCTATAGGGTTCCAATTAAAATTTATTTGCTGAAATAATGGACTATTCGTTTAAGCAATAATTACCTCTGTAATTCAGTGGGTGAAGGAAAGTGTCTCACCTTAAACCATGAAAGCAAGGGAAGAAATAGTAATGATACCAGCAGCTGCATACTCTTAACACTGTGAGTAGGAAGTTTATTTAACTTGAGGCAACAGACAGGTTTGGTTGGCTATTTTTTTAAATCAATAATAATGCTATTATCCCAAAGTGCTGTCTACCCAAAAGAAACAAACTTGAAAGATGAGGAACCTCAAGAGTAAATGAAAGCAGGAAGTGGAAAAGCAAGAAAAGGGATTCAAATATCAAAGATCTTGTTTAATAAGGTATAAATCATTCCTTACATCGTAAATTTCTGTCCTCCTGGTTGGGAAAGTCACCATATTTTCCTTCTACCATGGACTATTTCTGCAGATTTCTTACAGTGTTTATTCTACCTACCAATGAATGGGCTGTGAAAGCATTAGCCACTCTACCACCAGGCAGAGTGGTCACACACAGAGTCCTGCTGCAGAGTTCTGGTTGAACAAGACTTTCTCTTCAGCACCAAAAAAATCCAGTAGAAATGCTACTATTGAGACATTCAAACCCAGTACTAGCCATCTAGTGTTGCTGCGATGGCCATAATATGTAGCTCTTTCTCAGTTCTGTTTTTAAGCACTTGATGCTCTGCTTTATTTGTAAACAATAAAATAAATCTTCAAATAATACCATTTGTTTATGATTGCACTCCTTTTAGAAAATAACACAAAGGTACTGATGAAGCAGGTCAGTTTACAGTAATGCAGTTCAACACTGAAGAAACATTGATCAAAGCAAAGTACCACAAGCCTGTTCACCTGAAGAAATCACATAGCATGGGCAACGCACAGCTGATTTCCATTGCTGTTTGCACACTGTTAAAAAGTTACGGGGGGGGGGGACAGAGACACACACCAACAAAACAAAAAAAGCAGTGGTTTTCATTCTGATTTGAAATTGCTCAGAAAAGCCTACACTGGAATCCATGCTGTGCATCTGAATTATTCAGATGGAGTGTAATTGCCGAGTTATTTTGTGAAAAGGATAGCTCATAGTCCCCTTGATAACTGAGAGGGAGCTATCAGAGATGTAGGAGAAAGAATTCATTATATTCTTCCCAGTATTTTTAAACTTCCCTATTCTTGAACCAAAGCATAGACTGCTCTTGATTATCCGTTCAGACCATTTATAATGAATGTGTGCAGATTAAGACAAGAAATCTTATTGCTGGCTGTGCAAGCACTGATCACAATAGCAGTCCCTAAGACCCATAATTTTCAGCTTCTTTCCCAAAGTTTTGCAAAGCTGTATTTAACAGATTTCATAGTTATACACAGCAGAAGCTGATCCTTTCTCCCCTGAAGTGAACACAGCATGGAGCTGGGTGTGGGGGTGTAAGACATCTTCCCAACTCTTTTTCTAAGCATGATTTCTTAGCTTCACTGAGAAGTAACTATAATGCTAGGATTTATGTAAAGCTGCTTTAACAAAGGTGTGAATACTTGCATATATTATTGTATAGGTTTAACTGGATAGGTATGATACCAATCTGGATATGAAATCCATGGAAACAAAATAACTTGTCTATGATTTGTCAGGGTTTTGTGTTTTGGGGTTTTATTTTTCTTTTTTTCTTTGAAAACCACTGCTACACAACTTTGACAATCAGTAGCCAAACCTTTACTGAAATATCTGTTCAAAAAGTGCCCTTTACATGTATAAGTGTTTTGAATTCAGTGCTTTGTGATTAAGAACATCATCATTTTAGTTCTTGGACGTATTAGACATTCAATCATATTACATCTAATCAAAGGTCAATAATTTCTCCTTGGAAATTATTCATAGTCCAATTGTAGAGTTTTCCAGGAACTGATTTGCAGTGTTATTATATAATGATATCCCACTTGCCCTCGGTCATTGTGCTTGTAGTAAGCACGGTTAAAGCCCTTCCCAAATCTTTGATCGTGAAGCCAAGCCATCAAAAAAAAAAATGTTTGAAATATTCGAAGTAGCTAGGAAACTGATTTAAATCTTCTGCTGTTGCAAATGCAAAATGACAGAAAGTGACAAAGTGCGACATTCTACTTCAGCTGAGAGCACATCTGAAATTATTCTGAAACAGTCCGAGTATTAAGATTATAGTCACTTGTATTACCATTACCGTTTATATCTGTATTTTATGTTGCACTTAGAGAACACAACTGTACAAAGATGCAGGATGCCTGCATTCCTGGTATTCAGACAGGTTATACACTATTTCTGTGGGTGGTTATGAAATATTTATTGCTGATCTGATTGTGGTTAGCAAGTCATATTGATAAAATATTATAGGAAACTGGTGGCAGCAGCATCTGTAAGACTGATAAAAAGCTTACTAGTTTTTCTACTCATGTAATGGTGTATGCAACACTTCTTTAATCAGTAAAAGCCAAAACAGGCCTCAATACAAATTGCTGTTTTCAACTTAGTCTCAAGAATGTAAAGAATTTAATTCTTAAGATTTATATGTCTGTCTTGTCCACAGGGAGCAGGAGCCCTAGTAGTCTATTGCTCTGAATTCCAAGATTACTCTCATATCATCTTATTAAGAAAACTGTCAGTCACAATACTGATCTTACATTTTGTTATAGATTTCTTCTTTATTTTCCTATGGCAAGAAGCTCAGAGACTTTCAATCGATCACCTACTGTATTAAGAACGAAGCAATATCTGTCTAAGAGAAAAAAAAAGTGCATTTAAAATCAAGTTATATTTTAAAATGTTGCAGGAAAAAAAAAAACAAAACCAACATGAACCAGCTTGAGACACTAAGAGTTACTAGCACATGGCAACGACTACCCTGTGGCTGGTATCCGATATACATTCTCTATTTATCACCAAGTTCAGGACTCTATAAAAACAAATGCCTACATGTGAATGTTGGTAACAACCAAACTAATAATAAAGTTCTGAGGAACAAAATAAAAAGCATTTTCACCATTCTATAACAAATGGGACTTCCTTGGCAACTGGAGTCCAGCAAATCTTAAAAAGCAAAAGAAGGAGAATGTTTATTTGCTATTATATCTACATTTCAAGCTAGGCAAGGGAGGGCTGCAAATTCAAGTGCCCTAGTCAAATCACATTTTACTAAAGCTATAACCTGGTTGATCATATATTAACACTTTGCAGCAGAACTAAAGAGCCTGAACTAAACATATCATGACAGTGTCTGGAATTTTATTTACATCAGCAGAATTTGGGTCTTCATTAGTTCTCTGCACATTATGCTGCAGGTCAAAGTTCTCCTGATCTGCTGGAAGATTTGGTAATTCTGGTGGTGAACTCAGTTCAGGCTTATTCTTACCAGCATCATTCAGGACAACAATTTGGACTGTTTTTCAGTGGGGATAAATGCAGAAAGGCATTCTTTTTGTTTTGTACAGGTGGATGAGCACAAAACCCTAAGCACATCTACAAGCTTACCCACAAAAATCAAAGTAGCACTGAGGATGTTCTGAGCACTGCTTGTCTACTGTTTCTGTATGACAAGAAATAGCATTACAACACAGGATGGGGAAAGGAAATTTACTTCCTTAGAAATAGGTGATATTAACCAAATATGTATATGAACATACTCTGCAGATGTGATTAAGAAACTTACGCTTTGACTTGTTATTTATCACTGCTGGAATTAAGTCATGCTTTTTCCTTTCAAGCCTCAAAGACAACGCCAAAATGTTTTTGTTGCTTAAGAAAATTAAACTATTTACTCAATGATTCATTGGTACTATTTTGAAAAAAATTCATTTTAAGTTTGAAGACAAGTATGGAAGTGCTTTTTTTTTTCCCTTCCTCAGTCTAGTCCTGACACAAGCAATTAATCATTTTCTGGTTTTACTTTCATTCCCATCAAACCTTCCTAGGTCCTGGCTGTGGACTTAATTTCGTATTGAAAGGCTGTTCCTTGTGCTGTGCCTGTGACTTCTGTGAGGAAGTCACATTGACAGTTTCTAGGCAAGAACTGACTCCAAATTAAGTGCCTATTCTCATTCTTAAAGTTGCTGCACTGGGCTGCATTATCAGAATCTAACAAGAAAGTCTAAAGTCATCTTCAAGTGAATAGTATATAAAAAAGTTCTACAACATTTTCTGTGGAGTTAGCTGGATTAAAATCCTAGTATGACATGTCTACGTGATGTGTTAAATCTTCCGAACATTATCATATTGGCAATTATTTGTTTTGGGGTGGGGTTTTTTTTGCAGGCATACAGTTTTTTGTTTGCAGGTAAAACTGTAATGTCATTTACATACAAACTGCAGAATATCAGCAAATCATAGAAACCATGAAT